CGATGAAGTTACATAATTAATTAGTAAAATTAGATATTTTTAACATTAAACATCATCCGTCATACTCGTGAACGGGTGCTGCTTGTAGGGACTGGTCTGCTCTAATCACTATGACTGATTTCCTCTTATTAATTGTTTAACCAGTTGGTTATATATTCAATATTTTTTCTATTTGAGTATTTAATTGAATTAGTGCTAATTGGTGGTTTGTATTCACACACTTAAACTTTAAAATGTAAAGTAATAATAAAATTATTTAAAAGAGCAACACGCAAGTTTCTTGCTCGTTCTTCTTGTGATGAGACAGCTTTCCGAACGAGCGGTAGATTAAAAAAAATGTAATGACTATTCAAAAGTGCTTCAATGTAAGTTTATTTGAATAAATGATTTTCTATTCTATTCTATTCTATTCTATTCTATTCTATTCATGTAGCTTTTGTCCACAATTCTGTATATGAAAAGGACCCCTGTATATTTTAATATATGTTTATATACAGGATTCCTGTATCCTGTATATATACACACTTTTTTTTATTGGGTTGGGCTATTGTCAGATGTTTATAGCACCTGTAGCACTGCGACCTACATAGATCTATTGTGCTCGCCCTTTTTCAAAGTTCGCTACCTAGACCCGTCAGGAACAAGAATTGAAGGATATTCTTAGGAGCGATGGTTTTTATCTACTCGAGAAAAAGTGTAAACTTTCCAAAGGAGATATTACGTTTATGCATGAGTGGGCTACAACCACATAGGATGTGTAGTGGCGTTTCCTCTTCAGTTTGGCAGTATCTCAATATACACACATAATTATGTATGTAGGTTTATTTTATTCATGTAGTGATTTTTCCAGTGATAGTATTTATGAAACTTTCCCAAAGTCGCCAAGTGAAAGAATAAACATCATATTTTTAATCGTTCATTTTAAATTTGAATTTAATAACGAATCTGTATTATTGTAACATTTATTTCAAAAGAATACGACCTGATATTCTTGTCAGTTCTTCTCACCTCGAAATCATTTCGAACTGACGGTAGATTTGAGATATCATAAAAGTCTGTAATTGACCTACATGAATAAAGATTCTTTGAATTTTGAAATGTTTGTATCAAGTCAACAGTTTGTCTTTACAGATTTCTACTTTGTTTCTTGTTTTGAAAAGTCAATTAATATTCTACCTGACATCACCCTTACTATAGTAGATATATTGATAAAAATAATTCAAAATTTATTAACAGTGTTTGCGATCGCAAATAGCCATTTAATATATTTAAAAATAAAATTATAAAAATTCTAATTTGGAAAGTCACGCATGGAACACCGAAGTTATTTTATATACATTTTGCACTCCTTCTCGAACATTCTGTGGCGTCATTATTAAATTCAGTGTATAAAATTATATGTGCACCATGTTTGCGATCGCAAATAGCCATTTAATATATTTAAAAATAAAATGATAAAAATTCAAATTTGGAACGTCAGGAACATCTCTGTTATTTTATATACATTTTGCACTCCTTCTCGAACATTCCGTGACGTCATTATTAAAATCAGTGTATAAAATTATATGTGCACCATGTTTGCGATCGCAAATAGCCATTTAATATATTTAAAAATAAAATTATAAAAATTCAAATTTGGAACGTCAGGAACATCGAAGTTACTTTATATACATTTTGCACTCCTTCTCGAACATTCCGTGGCGTCATTATTAAAATCTGTGTACAATATATTCTAAATATTTGATTTATTACCTACAATTAAAACAAATTAAACATTGCAATATTTCTCCAGATTTCGTGGATTCTTGATGTAAGGTCATGAATATTCTATCTGGGGTTTAATATTACCCTTTTACGATAATAGGGATATTGGTAAAGGTATACTGTACACAAGAGGCAGAGATAATAAATATGTGAATAAATAATGTAACAACTCCAGGACAACACACAGCGCCATCTAGTCCCAGCTACGCGGAGCTTGTATTACGGATCCTAGACAGTTGATTTTGTTGTAACTGGCTAATGAAGAAATGTTTTATATTCTAAATTTGTATTTGAATTTATAGTTCTTTTATATTACATTCTTGTTTTTGATACTTCAATTCCTTCTTTCTATTCCCAATTGTCAGTAGTCTATATTAATATATTTTCTCCGTTTACCTAGTCTTTTTTCTTATTACTACAACAGATTTATATACTTAAACACGACAAATTATACTTTTTTTGAAAATATATACATAATATACAAAGAAAATACCCAGACCGATACAAACATACTCATGAATACAATGTTTGTACAGTGCGAGGAATCAAACTTGCGAGTATCGAAAACAAAGCGGTGTTCCAAACTGCTAGACTACTGAGGCCGTCGTGTGAATTAAAAATGAACTATATTAAAATATATAACAATACTAGCAGATCTGACCACGCGTTGCTGTGGCTAAGGTTCTTGAATAAAATAATATTACGACTATAAATTGAGATATAAGGTATCCCATCTTTCGAGTTGGATCAAATTGCACACAATGTGCAAATTAAATTTGCAATGGATTCAGTAGTTTAGGAGTCAATCGCGGACAAACAACGTGACACGTAATTTTTATATACAAAGATATACATAGGAAACACCCAGACCGATACAAATAATCATACAAGAGAATACAACTAATTTTAACTTTGATTACTTAATTTGATTACAACTAGTGTTTTTTTAATTATATTATTTAAATAACATTTTATTGAGTCAAAAAACTAAACTGAGTTCTTGCTACGAATAGTAGCCAACTGCTAGCTATACTTATGATGTTCCTTGGAGAAAAACAGAGCGATTTCCTGACCTGGACATATTTACATATGACTTGTCGAATTTTAGCAGAATGGCAATGGATTTCCTAAATAACACGTAAAATTGTAGGTTATTATTGTTTTAATATATATTTAATACATATATATATATATTTTGTAATTATTAATATTTCATATTTTTCTAAATTTTTTCCTAAGCGAGCATATTGGGAAGCTGTAAAGCTCGCTTAGTTTGATGTCAATAAATAAATATCTCTTTTCATACATTCTTAATTAAAATATTCTTCAGCAATACTATTTCCGAACCGATACGATAATGAAACCTTCAAGAAAAGAGCTTATTCCTTTTTAAAAGGCCGACAACGTACTTGCAATTCCCCTGGTGTTGCGGCTGCTCATGGGCGGCGGTAATCACTTACCATCAGGTGAGCCGCATGCTCATTTGTCCCGTGCTATAAAAAAATCCAAACCAAAATCAACAAAAATCTAGATTAGCACTGCGCGGTAATAGAACCCGCATCGCACAGTAAGGCAGTGTTAACTCTAGACCACCGAAGTCATCAATAATGTAATAGGAACATAATAGAATTTGCAAAACGTGTATATCGAATAACATGTGCAAAGGATGGTAAGACAAAACGCGAGGTGTGAATGAGTGGTAGATGGCGGGTGCATTGTGCTCTACGGTCGCAGGTTCACACGTGCGGCGCACGTGCAACAAGGTATTGTGTGCGAGTGTACCACACCGGGCGGCCGCCTGCACAACCTGTGATTTACAACCGCTTGTAAACTAATCCACTCGGTGCTTGAGACAATGCTGAGATATGGCAGACGCAACGTGAATACCAATAATAAACATTGATACTTATCAAAACGAATGGTAGATTAAAAAAAATGTTATGACTATTCAAAAGTGCTTAAATTAAGTTATATAGAAATAAACTTAATATAAACACTTTTGAATAGTCAGGGTTCTGGTTCTACTGCTCATTCGGAATGCAGACTCATCATAAGAGGAATGAGCAATAAACTTATGTGTTGCTCTTTTAAATAAATATTGTTTTAATTAGATTTACATTAACAAGTATTAGGCATGCGACAATCAACATAGAAACCGCTACGCACTTAATCTCTGTTCAATCAGATAACATTGTCAGCGCTATGAATTTTATGTTAGACATTTTCTACAAAAACTTTATTATCATTTATAAATTCTTCAAATTTGTAATAAGCTTTTTTACAAAGAAAATATTTTATAACACATTAGAATTTTCTATATACCTACCTAAAGGTTAATCTCGGCATCGCCCGGGTGTACATGTATTATATATATAAACCTTCCTCTTGAATCACTCTATCTATTAAAAAACCGTTACAAAATCCGTTGCGTAGTTTTGAACATTTAAGCATACATACGGACGGACAGACAGCGATTGTTTTATACTATGTATTGATAGTGATGATTAAAGAATAACTAAATAAATAACAATTATCTCGTAAGACTACCGTAGAGAAACAGCTGTGAGTGTTGGTGCGACGTGTTGAGCTGTGTCGCGACGCCTAGCGCCATCTTGTGATCGAAAGCAGAACTAAACTTGTAAATATAGGCCTCGCACGTCGTACGCCGTTGTTTTGTTACTACATGTTCCTATATATAATAATGCACTTATTTATATATATAATATGTAAAAAATTACTTATATTGGATATAGAATGAAAAAAAATCGACACAATGACGTTATTGTGTAGATAAATAAAAACTATCTACCTACTACGTAACTCAGGACCAAAGGAATTTAATCGTAGTTCAGAAGCGATATGTACTCAAAGCGAGTTACTGGTGTAAATATAATGAAGCCAACGATAGAGTTGGCATTTGACAAACGCTGTTGACAAACAATTTTGTTAAATGTGATTGTTTAATGAAAGGTGGTTATTGTGTATTATTTAGTGGATGTGCCGATACGCAGTCGGCACTCGGCAGTCGCAAGTCGGCTCTACTAATTAAGTATAGGTGGGGGGTGGCCGGGCGGTGGGCCGCGGCGGGGTGGGGTGCGGGGTGTGCGGCGGGCGGCGCGCGCGGGCGGGCGCGGGGAGCGGCGGGCGCGCAGGGCGGGGCGAGAGGCGGGCCGGAGTCATTCCGCCGCGCGCCGCGCCGCCACGAGCACGTCGACCGCGCGCGGGCCATGGTCGCGAGAACCGATGAGAGCATGTTCGGGTGCTATGGTGACAGCTACTCGTACCGCCTGTGGAGCCTGGCCAACGTTTGGGGCGCCTGCCGATGTGAGTAGTGCCCCGTGAACGCGCCGCGTAGGACTGTTACCGCTGACGTCAGCGGAGGCTGTGAGATCTCGGTGTACGTAGACGAAGTGCGAGCCGCGGTCAGTGCCGTGCGGAACAGAGGTGTACCTCCATGAAAGTGCACAGCTCGCTTATGGGAGTTGGCGGTTGGTACGAAACCTTGGCGGCCGGTTGGCTTGCGGATATGAGGAGTAAGCAAGTCCCAACCTCCACCACCTCGGCCAGGCGGCTCGCGGCCCTCAGTAAGCTTCCTTTCTTTTGTTTTTATTTGCATTTTATCATTGTCGTAAACATTGTCACGATCCTTATCTATTCCATTTTTCACTTCACCATAAAAATTTTAAAAAATCGTGCTTCAATAATAGTTGAAAAGTTTGTGAACTTCCAAAAAGTCGCGAGTGAATTTATAGTCTCGAAAATAAATTGAAAATAAAGTTTGTCACCATACCAGTGTTAAAAATTAGAGTCGCTGAAGAGAAATACTTAGTCGATTTCATATTCTGAAAGTTCATTAAAATAATGGTTTAAAAATATTCGATAATAAAAACGTGAAGAATAATTGAACGGTAATTATATCAAAATTAATTAATGAAAAATCATGTTAAAATTGTGACTGTGTCAGTAAAAAAAAATTTAACAAATTAAAGATAGACAAGAATTTGAATTCACGTTCATAATAATCCGTAAAAACAGTGAAAAATAATTAAATTGTGTCCAGAAACTGAGATAATAAATTTTGTTGCTATTTTAAAATAAAAACTTACAGTTCACAGTGATTTCACGATTTGTATCTATTTCTCGAAAATTAACAGAATTATAGTTCAATCACAGTGTCTTAGAATAAAACCGTAATAACGCGTGTGATAAGTTGTTCATATCAAGTGGAAATAAAATCTATGTGTATCTCAAAACTAAATTATAAAAGTGAACAATAGTTTAATCATATTTCCAAATTAAAGAAATTATATTTTGTGACTCTTAAACTGAAAGTGGCGAGTGAAAACATATTTACCGATCTTAAAATCAAAGTTCAAAATTGGTCGAAAACGTAACCAACCAGGTGAAAATGAAAATCAGATCACCTCAGTGGTATTAAAAATAAAACTTGAACACGTCTTCATTAGAAATAACCTCAGCCGTAATCTCCCCTCGTCTCCCCCGGGATATAATTCATCCACTTGAGAATCGGGTACAGGTACACATAGACTTGAAAGAAAGTTTCGTTTGTTGAGGGGAACCCGGTCGCCGTCTAAACCGTAAATGATTATGTTGTTTTAATTCATTTGCTTCTTTCTTCCTTATTCTTTTTTATTTCTTTTCTGTGAGTGCCGCCTGTCTGGAGTGGATAATATAATAGGGCCGTTTGATGCGAGGAATTTCGGATCACAGTGCTCTGTTTTAGATGAGCGAGTTCGTGGAACGCGGATGCATAAATTAGTACATTTTTATCAGTGTTGGCGGTCGACAGCCTAGTCATTTCAGTAACTGGTGTCAAAAAGTCATAATAACATACGTTCATCATCATAAATAGCTGGGCACCTACATCCAATCGAGTTATCTTGCTATGCCTACTTACCGAAAACAATACCAAAATTACAATAAGTGTACCTACGTGTATTTCTCTATATACAATGACCTATTATAATAACATATTGTGATATTTTTTAATAATAATATAATAATAAACTTTATTCATAAATGCACGGTACAATTAAATACAGTTAGCCCTGGCTTGCGATTTAGATGAAACCTGTGTCAAGAAAGTTCCCTCCAACATTCTGTACCTAAACTGTTTTTTGGTACATCTGCAGTTGTGTACATAAAGGAATACAAAAAAAAAAAGTTAAATACTTTTGAATAAAAAAAAATGTATAAAAGAGACGCTATTCTTTTTGACATACTATATTAAATAACAATATACGTATAATTAGTAAAAATCACGGGATTTTACCACGTTTTATATTTATTTATTGAGTTCCCATGCTCACCCGTGATGATGGGGTTGAAATTACCGAAATATCGGGAACTCAGTAAATAAATACAAAACGGTAAGATCCCGTGATTTTTACTAATTATCCGTATATATTACAGATTGTAACCTATTTCAAACACAGCTTCTCACAGCAATTGATTGTAATGGTATATATATGCAATGTATTATCTAAAATACTATATGTATCTGTTCCCAATGTGTTTGTGAGAAATAAATAAAATATTATTATTATAGACGACCTCGATGGTCTAGCTCACCGCTTTACGTCCGATGGTCGCGGGTTCGATTCCTCGCACGGCAGAAACATTTGTATTCATGAGTATGATTGTTTGTATCGGTCTGGGTGTTTTCTATGTATATTATATATGTATTTACGAAAAAAAAATTATCTATGTAGTTATATCAGTTATCTAGTACCCATAACACAAGCTTTAGCTAGCTTAACTTGGGTCTAGATGGCGATTTGTAAATTGTCCTGATATTATTATTATATTATATGTAAAGGTTATTGTATATAAAAATACACATATAAAGTTTTTAACTCTTTTAACTATAGAGATCTTATTATATATAACGTTTTGACTAAGGATTTTACATATTTTAAATACATATATTCGTATATGTATATTAAAAATATTATAAACGCGAAATTTTGTGAGTATGTACTCGTATGTTTGTTGCTCTTTCACGCGAAAACTACTCAACAGATTTCGATGAAACTGTACAGTAATGTTATACATCGGAATAACAGTAGGCTATAAATGTCATGTGGATGAAACGGCGGTCGACCTAGCTAGTATTGTATGAAGACAATGTGAACTTATCATAACCAACACATTGTAGGTACCTATATATTATTTATTTTAACGCTATGACTTACATAACGCTATGACTTACAGATTTACAGTGCAAATGTACTGAATGAAGATATATCCAATACTATATATATACACTACATTTTTATATTTCTTAGATTAAGTTCTATTTGATTATTGACTGTTTATCATAATTACATAGTATAAAACAAAGTCGCTGTCGCTGACTGTCCGTATCTATGTATGCTTAAATCTTTAAAACTACGCAACGGATTTTGAAGCGGTTTTCTTTAGTAGATAGAATGATTCAAGAGGAAGGTTTATATATATAATACATGTACACCCGTGCGAAGCCGGAGCGAGTAGCTAGTATATTTTAAATTTAGTATTACTTAATAATATTAGGAATCGTATGGCATATAGTTTCTTCCACAAGATATAGTACTTGATTACGTTTAATAAAAAAAATTATTGTTTCTTTGTAGGTATATTGAATTTCAATACATGGAAACTAACTAATAATTACCTAAATTAGATCAAATTGTCCCTTAATTTCTCATTGTACCTACCTAAATATTAATTATAAGGTAAATAAATAATTTAGTAGAACATATATAATGACTTGCCTACATGAAAGCTTATCTATAAGTGTATTGTTACGATAAAATATCATAAATAAATAAATAAATGTTATAATTTCTGCTGATTTCAAATCACATCATCATTACATAGTATATAACAAAGTCGCTGTCGCTGTCCGTCCGTCTCTATGTATGCTTAAATCTTTAAAACTACGCAACGGATTTTGAATCGGTTTTCTTTAGTAGATAGAGTGATTCAAGAGGAAGGTTTATATGTACATATATACATGTACACCTATATTTATTCATCTACATGAATAAATATATTTTGAATTATATTTGAACTAATAATAGACCTACGTCTATTACAGACTCTTATGTCAAATCTAACCGTCAGTTCGGAATGATTTCGAGATGAGAAGAACTGAGAAGAAACTCAGCTCGTATTCTTTTCAAATAAATGTTGTACATGTTTACAATAGCACAGATTCATTTGAAATCAAATTTGGGAGAATAGAGTGACCACCAACAATAGCAAATAGTCTAATCAGTGTTCGTAACTCGAAGCGACCTGTCCTACAAGCAGCCCTCGTTCACGAGTTGACGGACGAGTAGTACATGTTTACAATAATACAGATATAGGTACTAATGGTTTGTGAAGGACCATAATTAGAGAAGTAGGTAATAAAGCAAGTTAAGTAAGCTATATTCCCACTAATTAGTTGTTTATTTAGACAAAATTAACGGTAGCTAGCGTAAACAAAACTGGAGCTCGTCAGTAATCGACTGATATAACATTTGTTCTCTTATTAGGTAACTAGCGGTACTTACTCGCGTATCGTATCTTAAGCGATTTAACTTTATTTTTCTAAAATAAAACTAGCCTACTACTCCTTATTACATCAGCTATACTGCCGAAAAAGTCCCATCAAAATCGGTCCAGCCATTTCATAGATTAGGAACGAATAGACAGACAGAGAAAAATTATAGAAAATGTTATTTTGGTGTATGTACCGTGTTTATATTCATATGCGTATAGTAAAACACGGTTATTTCAATATTACAAACAGACACTGCAATTTTATTTATATGTATAGATGTATAGATTATTTATATCGTAATTATGCTGTACATAATATTATTATAATAATTTATATCTACTATAACGAATCGATTTATTATTATACACGTTTTAAAAAAGATACTGTCACACTTTTGAGTTTTGCTGTTTCCATTCAGTTACGTGGCTTTGTTGAGATGTACAGATTCCACTCGTTAAATGATAAAACAACGAACGAGTATCTTAGTCATACACTGGTGAGTCACATTGTGATCAGCAGTCAGCACCAAGCCACCAAGTCATAGGTGCACAAATACCTAATGAACATACAACAACATATCTACACATATAAATAAAATTTCAGTATCTGTTTGTAATATTGAAATAACCGTTTTTTACTACATGAATTTGAATAAATACAGTACATATACCAAAATAACATTTTTTACAATTTTGTGTCTGTCTCTCTGTCTGTTTGTTCCGGCTAATCTCTGAAATGGCTGGACCGATTTAGACGGGACTTTTATTGGCAGGTAGCTGATGTAATAAGGAGTAACTTAGGCTACTTTTATTTTAGAAAAATATAGTTACATCCCACGCGGACGAAGTCGCGTGTGCAGCTAGCTAACTTATAGTTATAATAATTGACTCTGCACATTAAAAAACTCTAATCAATTTAATATAAATGTTTGTGGCGTTACGAATAAAAATGATGAACTGGTAGGTACTTTATATTAATGTCAATTAATACGAAAGAAGAGTGTCTGTTTAGACACTCCAATTTTATATATAT